AAAGAAACTCTCTGTGGCAACCTCCAGAATCCCTCTTTACCTCCAGTTCCAGTTTTGGTTCTATATGTCCTCTCCTACATGCAGACTGGTTCCTTCCCAGCTGCTCACCCCTCCCTTTGGGCTTTGCCCACACTCGTAAGTAGAAGAAACCTTGCTTCGACTATGAAGTCTTCTCTCATTGACGCTGCCTTTTCTCTTCCACCAACAGATTTTCTGTGCTTTTCCCCAAGGCCAATCCCTTGTCTTGGATACTCAGTCCCTATGTTAGCTTCCTGTTACTGTGACAAAACAACTGAGATAATCAAATTATAAAGGAGGAAAGATTCATCTTGACTCGTGGTTTCAGATATCTCAGCCCACAGCCATCGCGTTTCATTGCTTTTTGACTTGTGAGGAGGCAGCAATTAATGCTCAAGAGCTTGCAGCCAAGCAAAGCTGCTCGCCTCGCGGTGAACGAAGAGCGCAAGAGGAAAGCGGGGAGGAGCCAGGGCCCCCACGTCCTCTCCAGGGGTGGTCTGTGACCCCCAGTTGCCCCCCCTATGCCCCACTTCTTAAAGCTTCCACCGCCTCTCAATAGCTCCACATGCCGGTGCGCGGCCCTCAGCAAAGGCCTCGGGAGCACTCGGGGCCCACACCCCAGAGGCCTGCAGTCACCTTGGAGCAGCGCCTGCGGCAGCAGTTTCTTCCTCGTTGGCTGTCCTGCATCATCACTCCCATCTTTCTGACCATCCTTCCCACCGATGTCCATCATGCTGTGTCTCCCTTTTCAGAAAACCTGCTGTGGATCTCTCATCCCCTCCAGCTGTAGCTCGTTGCTCTGTACCTCTATGGGACAAAGTTTTCAAAGAAATGATTACAGCTGCAGTCACCATTACTGTCCTTCCCTTACCACTTAACTCTTCCTCTGTCTCATCTTTAGTTCCACCATTCACCCGAGTCTGTGCTTCTGAATGCCACAAGTTACTACTACTACCTTGCTAAATCTGATGACATCGCCTTATTTGGCTAGTTGGCAACTTCTAATGCAATTAATTGCTGTTTGAAATACATATTTGACTTCTAGGGTACCTCATCCTTCAAGTTTTCCTACTATCTCACTGAGTATTGCTTTTTGAGTTTCCTTGGCTTACTGGTTTCTACTTTACTTTAGAATTGTATTAGAGTAGAAATATCCCAGGGCCTTGTCCTTAGATCTTCCCTTCATTTATGTTACTCCCTTGATGATCTCACTTGGTATCATTCTCTCTCTGTCTCTCTCTCTGTCTGTCTCTGCCTCTCTGTCTCTCTCTGTCTCTGTGTGTGTGTGTATGTGTCTCTCTCTCTCTGTCTCTATCTCTGTCTGTCTCTGTCTCTCTCTGTCTCTCATCTCCATCTTTGTCTCTGTGTCAAGGACAGACTGTTGGGAATTTGGACTCAGGATGAAATAGAGATTAGTTATGGTGCCGCCCCAGTAATGATAGCCATGAAGGGTGAGAACAGCCCAGGTGCATTTTTGAACATAGAGAAAACGAGATTCGCTACTGGACTGGATGTGCACTGTTAGTGGAAGAAAATTCAAGGATGACACCATTGTTTATGATCTGGACGATAGGAGCTGCCGTTCACTGATTAGAGCAGATTGGTTGTATGTGAATGGGTGGGTTTGGGACAGGGATTCAGAACCTGGGCTGTAGATAGTTTGAGATGAATACTGGCTCCCAAGTATGCATGTTGATTTGACAATTTAGGCTTGTGAGAGCATCCACTACATGAGATCAGGAGCTCCATGATGGCTGGGCCTGTGTCTTTTGTCTGTCATAGTACCTGGCACGTAGTAAATATTCAAACATTTTAACTGTCAAATACAAGCTCTCAGCAAAGGCCAATTTTATTGTGAACCTTCTGAAGTCTTCCTCCTGCCCCCTTCTGTGGCATGACCCCACACCTCGCAGCATCCATCACACTGATGCAGTGACTTGTCTACTTCATAGTCCAAACTTGGCATTCAATTATTATGAGTGTATTACTATGCACCGGCCGCTATTCTAAGCCTGGGCATTACAAGATATTAATCATTATGGCAAGCTAAAGATGAGAAACTCAACCGAAAACTGGACAAGAGGGAGTCAACTTGAGAATTATCAAGATTAGAACCTAGTAACAGTCTTGATATATGGACTGAGTGAGAAAGTGTATAATGATGCTGATAATTTGTAGTGATCCCTGACACTGTTTCCTAATTTGCATTGTTTTTGGAGCGAGATAGAAAGTGTCCTCAGTTGCTGACTTACAGTTTGGAGCAAAGGAAAGACTCGGAGAGAGAAACGGCTGAGGAGCCACCAGCGTATGAATAATGATTTAGGTCTGGAGTATATGTGTGCAATCACCACTCTCACTGACGGAGAGACTGTGGCTCAGGAATGTTAATTAACTTGTCCAGTGCCAGAGCCAGGATTCCAGCCCTCAGGACTTTCTACATTCCGTTCTTGTGACTTTGACCTTAAACTCTGCATCCTCTCCAAAGGGTCAGATGTTTGGCCTGAACAGTGTAAAAACACTTACTCAAAGCTTTTATAGTGTTTTCCTTGTGCTGTAGTTTGGCAAGCTTGAGTCCTTTCCTTTCTTCTTTCCTTTCCTTTTCCTTCTTTTCTCCCTCCCACCCTCCCTTCCTTTCTTTTTTCCTTATTTCCTGCCCTTTGTTCATGTTTGTCTTGTCCTGAAATTATTCTCTACCCGTGTCAGCAAGAGGTTTCCACCAAAAGGAAGGGAATGGCCAAAATCTTTCACTTTATGAAGCAATCATAACCTTAAGCTGTGCTGTGCTGCTGTGGCTTCCTTAAGTTGGGGGTTCCTGTCTCCCTTCCAGGGAGACCAATGCCTGCCCCAACCCAGCTAACTAGAAAAGGAAAGACAGGGTCTACTCCTCTCAGAGGTTCGGGGGAATATGATCACACTGGCCTTCATTAGTAGTTCTGTATATCTAGGAGTCTTGAAGCTACCTTGAGTTATGGGGTAGAAGTGCAGGCTGGACTCAACAGGGACCAGATAAGTGCTTGTGGTGGATTCACTAGTGGTCAGTTTAAGCGGGGAGCGCACAGCTGAACTGAGTCATCATGGTTCTGGGTATGGAAGACCCAGCTGAGGGTTGCTCAGAGCAGCACACCGGAGGGGAAGATTGCATGCTGTTGTGCTCCTGGAGAAGCTTGCCCTGGCTGGTTTTCCTGACATGAACCGGGCTGCGCTCACTGGGAGAGGAGCTCAGGTCCTCGCTGTCACTGAGGATGGCTGTGGTACTTTTTGGAGCAGCTCTGGTCCTTACTTGGAGCATTGCTTCCTGGCTCCAGCGCAGATCCTTGAGCCTGCTGCACAGATCCTTCACTCTGCCAGCACAGAATTTCTACCTGGGCCTTCCCAGGGCAGATCCTTATAGGGACTTGCATGAGACATTGCCATGGGCTCTAGGCCTTCGGCTGGACTCATGCAAGACATTGCTGAGGGATCTGGCCCCTCAGCTGGATTCTTTGGGTCTCTATCACACGGACAGATCTCTCACACTTGTCTGTATTTGACTTTTTAGGTGAATATTATAAAATAATCCTATAAATTGTGTGTCCTGCATTAAATCCATCCCCATGTAAACCCTGACTATAACAGTGCTGTAGAAATGTCTCAGTATAGCAAGTTGTTGGAAAGGCCATCTAAAGCAGGTCTGTAGAAGGACTTCATTTAGTCTGTGAGGGAGAAAGTAGACAGGATATAGTTCGGAGGAACTCACTTTTTTTGGAAGTTGCTTACAGATATCAGCTTGCCTCTTGGCCTTCTTCTTGGATTTCTCCATCAGAAGGATTTCAGAGAATTGCACATAATATTTTCATTAATGATAAACAGACATTTCCCTGAAGTAGGATCATATTGGATATTCCCAGCAAGAGAGGCAAAAGAGCCAGAAATTTGATCAGGTTGCAAGAGATTCATGTGCGGCACTAGACTGTAGATTTTTGATTACTTTCTGTGGCTGGATAATGGATAGGATACTTTCTAAAGACCTTAAAGCCTTCTTTCGATGATCAAGATGTATGGTTTTGGTGGCTTCTGAAATGCAACGGGGACATAATTAAATGGATGAAGACATGGAAGGAAGGCACAGGCACTAAGGGCTGGAGCTGGGAGGCTTGTGTGGCAGTCCTTGGTGGGACAAAGAACAGGAGTCATCTTCTGAGGGGAAAGAATCACACAGATCCCCAGAAGAGATTAAGCTGATAACTTCAGCCTGTTACCACGGAAGGATATTCATGGAGCAAGGGTGCTGGAAAAGAGCGATGGAGGAGGACCCCAGGTGTAGGTGGTTTGGAGCTAGGCCATAGCGACAGGCCAGAACCAGTGACCTCACAGGCTCAAATATGTTTAGAAAACTTGTGTTTGTAATTTTTTTTACCCCCAAAACTTTAGTGCTTAATTTACTACCCTTCATCATACATGCTAAAGGCAAGCAGACGCAGGCTCAGCGTTTACCCCTCCCTCCCCCAAAGAATTTGGGCCTTGGGTTTATCTCCTGGCTCTACGTTCCTTTCAGTGTCAAGTAAACTGGCTTTTGTCCCTGCTCAGGAATGTGTCAACTTTTGTCCCAGGTACACAGTCCTCCAGCTACGTGATCCCTCTCTCCCCACCCATCCTCGTGGGAAGGGACAGGGCCCCCACCATTTTCTATTATGACTCATTTCACACAACTCAGGCAGCGGAGATGAGAAACAGGCAACAAGGTTTGAGCACCTTTCTACAGAGCAGGGAGCTGATAGGAGAGGTTCTATCATTTAGTTTTGACATTTGTTATGTTCAGCTATGTGCTTATGATAAACACAAAGGCCGTCCCTTCAAGGGGGCCCATGGCACTCCCTCAAAATGCCCATCTGAAGTGGGGTTAAAAATCCTTTTCTAGGTAGGATGGACGCTTTTATAAAGCCTCTTTCATGCCTTTTCTTAAGAAGAACAATGGAGACAAGGAAGAAAAAAAAGAATGCTTGGACATACAGTGTATTTCAGGTGGCATTCTACAACACCTGATCATTAACAGAGATTATAATAGGTAGTGTTCTCCAACGGAGGCAGAAATTGGGACGCCTAGACTCCCATAGTCAAAGCCATGAGCGAGACAGTGTTTCCGAGGTGAGAGATGGGGCTAGGGTGGATTCCCTGATTGGGAGGGACAAGCCACTTGAGGACAGTGGCGGGGGTGGCCCGGGATGGAGGCAGATCCACGCAGCTGGGAGCGTAGCCGGAGCTTACTGTGTGGGGAATGGGAAACGTCCAAAGAGGCCAGGCCCACCGGCCTCCTCGTGGGGAGCGATGGGTTCTTGGGGCTCCTCCCTGGCGTGTCAGTCCCCGTCTTCTCCGTGGGGCTTTTGGCTGGAACCAGCCTCCTTTCCACATTTTCCTTGCTGGTGTTGGCCGCCTTGCCAGGCATGGACAACATGGAGTCCGCGTGATCTTTGCCTTTTGTCATGGCGCTGATGTAGTGCACAAAGAATTTCATCTTACTCACCAAGCCAGACTCTGGAAGGCTGGGCCTCTTGTGAGAATGGGCTGGCGTCACCTGCCCCTGCAAAACCCGACTTTGCAAGGTTTGGCCCTTGAAAGGCTTGTGCGGAGTCGGTTGGCCCGGGAAAGGCTGGCCCTGGGAAGCCTGGCCCACTGCAGGATGGAAATTCTCAGGAACCTTCGCAGGTCTGAGGAGGGCACTGACGTTTCTTCTGTGGTCCTGCATGTCGTGCTCAGATTCTTTTCTCCCAGGGAGCTCTGTAGGCGGCTCTGCAAGCTTAAGCTGAGGGTGGTACTGGGGAGTGTGTTGCTGGGGATCCACAAGAAGACAGCTGTGGGTCCATCGCCAGGAGCCTTGGGGTCTTCTCTTCAGAAGCATCTCTTCTGGCTTCTGCTCTTCCTCAGGGTGTCTTTCTGCACTGGTTAAGGAGTGTCCAAGCCCTGCATCCCCTTCTCCGAGGTCCCCTGCTGCTTGGGGTTTCCCTGCCTCCTCTCTCTTTCCTGCCGGCGTGGGGATGTGGGCTGAGGCCTTGCCTGAGCGTTGGGGCTCAGGGTCCCAGTGTTCCTCCAGGCCGGGGCTGTTTACAGCGGCCTCCACCTGAACACAAAGCACCTGCGCCTCAGTCACGTCCCCGCTGACCTGTGAGATCTCGGAGGGCTGGTGGCTAGGAGCAAGGGGCGCTGCTTCGGAACCAGGTGGCTTTGGGCTGTGCCGCAGCGTCTGCAGCTGAGAGGCCGGGTGTTCTTCCAGGTGGACACGCTCTGAATGTGGGGCAGGCGATGAGTCTGGCGGGGCGGGCAGTTTCTGGAGCACTGTGCTTCCTTGCTTGTTTTGACTAGTCAGACGTGCCCGTGAGGACTTGTTCTCTGGGCCCGCTGTAGTTTGTTCCCGGGACTCCCTTGCCCGTATGGGGAGTCCCAGTTTTATCTCTAGGACCTTTTTTCTCAGGTGGAAGTGCAGCCTGGACACCAATCGCGTCTTGAACGCGTGGAGGATGGCGGGTTGTGTCTGGCTCTCCGGAGGCGCTGACTCCGTTGTTCCTTCCCTCTGCACCTCAGGCTGGGAATCTGCGCTGTCTGCCCAAGTCTCGCTGTCATTTTGAAAGCAGGGCCCAAGCCTCCTACTTGGGTCTTGCGGTGTTGTAACTTGAGCCAGAGGCTCCTTTGGGGCTTCCACTGGCCCTGGCGCCATCCCTGCTGCTGGCGAGTGGCTAGCGATGGCTGGAGCCGTCACTTCAGACAGAGCGGAAGAGTAAAGGGTGGGCAGTCCCGACAGGAAGACGAGGTACTTGTGTCGCACGGTCATCTCCAGCCTCTCCATGGCTGCCGAAGTCAGGGCTCGGTGCAGCTTAGGGCGTCCAGCGGCAGTGTCTGGTGAGGCCTGCTTTTGCCGACCGAGGGCCCTTGGCCCCCAGGGCGTAACTCGGTCATGTGGGTCGGGGTCGCTGGCTGCCTGCAGCCCCCGGGGCTGGCCTTGTGGAACGCAGGGGAAGGGAGCCACTGCTACGCCCCCAGCAGCTGTGCCTTCCCAGGAGCTAGATACATGGCAAGGGACCATGCCTTGGTGGATCTGTCCACATTTGGAGTCAATGTGGCCCTGCAGTTTGGCCTTGGCCTGGGTGAGCAGGTGTGGCATGGGGAGTGACATTTGGGCCAGCATGGGTGAGAAGGGGTCGCCATCCCCCGTGCCCTTCAGGGCCGTAGGGTGGGGGATCTGCACCCTGGGGAAGGTTGTGCTGCTACAGGGCAGGGTCTGCTGGTCAGCAGAGGAGAGGAGCAACTGGAAGGACTGCTGGATCTTCTCGGGCAGGCCCCAGCGAAGGCGAATCAGCTGCTTCTGGAAGTGAAATTCCAGCAGCCTGTGGGTGTGCTCTGGGAAGAAGGGTAGTTTCCTGGTGAAGACTGAAACAGGCTTCCCTGGCCAGGACGTTTGCACAGTCTCGGGAGCCTGGGCTTCGTCACAGGGCTCAGACTGCTTGGGGCTGTGGGCATGGCGACATCTCTGGATGATAGCTGGCAGCCCCCACCGAAGCTGGAGCTGCCTCTGCAGCAGGTGCCATTCCAAGGTTTTATATTCAGCTGGAGTCAGAAATGGGGCACTGACGTGAGCTTCTGGATGTCCAGCTGGAGACACACGATTTGGAGACAGTGGCGAGGAGGGCAAGCGTACGTCTGGTGGCGTTTCCGGCAGCAAAGGGTGGAAAGAGAGCCCCTGGAGCAGAAGAGGCTCCTTCGATGGGGGCCTGGACGTGTTTGTGTTCGTGGCGAGGCCTTCAGAGCTCAAGAAAGAGGCAGTCAGGGACTCACTGTGCAGAGAGGGGAGGCCACAGAACAGCTGCCTGTGTTTCTGGTGCAGATGGCTCCCGGGGTCATCAGCCTGTCCCCCAGGCAGTGGATAGAGGCCACCTAGGACTTTTGGGGAAGGAAAGGGTAAGGATAGACCCATAGTGTTTGATCTCTGCTGGTGTCTTTGTTCTGGGTTCACATCAGACCATTCAGAAACCCAGAAGGACTGGGTGGATTGCCCAGCCATATATGAACACCAGGTTTGGCGGGCAGTGGTCCCAAATTCACAAACACAGACCCGCGAGTTATTATTTAGGATGAGAGAAACTGGTTCATTATTTTCTGTCTGGCAATACAGGGCTGTGTTTGGCATAAGCTGCCTCAGAGAGTCCTCCACACGTCTGGGGAGCCCCCACCTCTGGAAATGCATCCATTTTCTTACATGTCCCTCAAGAAGCCTCAGGACTTCAGGACTGAGGAATGGGAAGTGGACAAGGGGGACCATGTGGAAGGCCACTGGACGTGTCAAGTTAGCGATCCCTGGGTTCACGTACATGAAAGAGATCTGCGGAGAGTTCACAGACTGCTGGTCTTGGTTCCCCTGGACGTAGTTAGGGTTGCTCTGCATCATTTCCTGCTCACTCACTGCAGCCACAGGCTGCTCAAACCCTAACGTAGCCGCAGTCTCTGGGCCCATGGGCACGAGTGCCAGGTGACATTCTTGCCCTTGGTGCACACGGTCGGCCCGGTATTCTCGGACACTAATCGTATTGGTTGATTGCATTACCCGTTCTGCCAGTTGTGTCAGTGTTGGGGGTACAGAGGCCAGTGAAAGATCCCTAGGGTGCTGAGAATGAACCTCCAGATTCTGCTTAAAAGACACAGCTGACATGGAGACCATCTCTAGGCAAGAGCCCTGCGATGGCCCTGATAATGCGGGAGAGATCTGGTTCTTCTCATCCTCCAGCAGCTGCTGAATCTCCAGGGCCACTGCATTGCAGGTCTGGCAGGAAGGATCTGCACACAGGAGCTGCCGCACACTTTCCTGCTCGGGAAGCCAGTGCTGGCTGGGAAAGGAAACACGATTGTTAAAGATGAGGGACATCTGCCTGTTGGGAAGAGCATGGTCTGGGGGTTGCTACTGCCCACCCCGATGCTGCAGGTTCTGAACCTGCACTGGAAAACGAAGTCTTTGAGGAAACTGTTTTTGAGAGCTATGGATATCTCTGCTATGGGGATTGGCATCTACTGGGAATCAGTCTCATTCTGAGGAGCAGGTAAGGTGACAGGTTCCTGTATCAGGGTTTCCCAGATTGTGTCCTCCCTCAACACAGAGCAGAAAGATCGTCTCTGCAGGATCTAGACAGACCCAGGGCTCTTTCCTTGAAAGGCTGTACCTGTTAAGAGAATATGCAAAATCCATTCTTTCAAGTAGATAATTGTCCCATGGCTGACACACCACATACGGTATCTTTTTAAGATAATGCACAGATGAAATCTTGAATCGGAGAACTACTGTGTGCAGAGCAGAACTGGGTGGCTCTTCCCTTTTGAGATGTCTGGCTGCATTCTACCTCTGGCAACCCTCCCAGCCTCTGGACGGCCCCCACCACATCTGTCTGCTCCCATCCTGGGTGCGCCTTTCCGCACCCTTGCTCAGGCAGGCCCAGAAATCCTCACCTTACAAGCCAGGAATTGAGGAACTACAGAGAACAAAAGATCACCTTTTCATGACAGAGATCAGCTCCCTCGGCTTCTCAGATTCTTCTTGGTAGCGTCTCCTGGCTGAGGAATAATCAAGACACAGTTTATGGAATGTTAGTGCGCATTCTCTAGAAGCAGCAGGCCTGGACTCCCAGTGAGAGGGAACCAGAAAGCCCAGCAGTCGCTATTTTAAGGGGGTCTAGGGGCTCTAATCATTGACTCGCTTCTCACAACCATGCCATGAAGGCGGATCATCAGATGCCGAGTTTCCGGAGAGCAAGACTGGGGGATGAAATAACTCACACGGGATTTTAAACTAGCACATGGCAGCGTTAAAGACATCTGCCTTATATCCTCAGGTCTTTATTTTCAGGGGAACCAGGAAGGTAAATTTGGCACATTCCCACGTCCTGATTTCCCACCCACCCAATCGTCTATGAAAGTCATGAGTCTGGAGAACTGGAGGATCCAGCAGTTGGAGCCGGGTCCTGACACAGTGTCAGAGAGGCGCAGACGGCAGGGGGCGCTGTTCCACAGCCGAGGGCACTCAGAGGGGAGCCTGGGACTTTACCTCTTGATGCTGCATTTCTGGCCCTTTGCCTGATTTTCTGGTGACGCTTAAAGACAAAAATATTAGAATGTGAATCTGGAATGCCGTTTTCTTTCTCATATTCACAATAAGACAGAGCCCACATGCCTTTTCCACTCCCTTTCTTGTGTATTTGCATTTTAATTATGTTCCCACGTTTTAAAATCTTTACTCCACACTTTCTTACCCCCACACTTCCCTTCTCTGCTTATTTACAATTGATCTCAAGGCTTTTTAAAACTCTACACCTCCCATCCAGTTACCAGGAGAAGCTTTGCTGAAGACCAAAGATGATACAAGAGAAGGAACGGAACACGCTTCAGCAGGTGTGGTTCCGACAGTCACAGGACTTCATCTTATAATGCCTTCAGGGACTGTAAACCAGAAAATTATCTCCTATTGGGAGTTCCTCCGAGATCCAATGTGATGGATCCCATATCCAGGTCTACACTCAAGCCAGACAGACAGGTTTCTGGTTTTTCAGTTACAATATCCTACAGAGAAGGACTAGTAAGGAATTAGTTCTAGCCTCCAAGAAGAAAAAGGCTATACAAAGGTAAAAGAAGATATGGTATTAAAATTGGCAGGTAGGGGTAATGAGGTCATAAAGAAGAACTCGGGAGCTTGAAGACTTTCCACTTAAGGCTTAACCTAAATTAATTATGGTCACAGTGGTTCCCTACCTGGCAGCAGCTCCTTTTACATTCAAATCTCAATCCGTGGTAATTCCAGCTCACTTGCCAAATAATTAGGAAAATGATGAAGATAGATCCGTAGGTATATAAGAGGTATACAATGTCCCACAGAACAAATGCAGAGCTCAACATGGCCTAAATCTCATTAGCATGAGGAGACCAGCCATCCCTCTGTGTAGGCATTCAGGTTCTAGTGACTAATGACTCCGAGTGCTGGGACTTCTCACGTCCGCCTCACAGAGGACGGAACCAGGCCACCAGGCTGCGTCACAGAGCCCTTCTGTTTCCTGAGAGATGCTGATGTGGTGATGCCGTCTGTAGATGCTTAGTTACGTCTTGTCACCGGGACACAATACCTGGTACCCACGTCCTAGAGGAGGAGGTGTATTTTGGTTCTGGTTTGTGGAAGTTTCAGTCCATAGTCAGCTGGGCCCAAGGCAGGGTGGCTTGGCAGAGGAGAACCAGCTCATGACATGGGGGCAGGAAGCAGAGAGAGATCAAGGGAGGTGGGAAGGACCCAGACTCCACCAGGCCATGCCCCCCGTGACCCACCTCCTCCGACCAGGCCTCACCTCCCAGATCACGGCTAGCTAAACTCGCCGGTGTACCAATCCCCCGATGAGTATCACACCCCATGACCCAGTCATCTCCCCAAGCCCCAGCTATCAGCGCATGAGGCTTTAGGGGGACATCTGGATATAAACCATGGCGATGAGGGTGCGGCCCTCGAGAGAAGCATCCATTTCCCACTCTCTTCCCACACCGCCTGGTGGCTCAGCCCCCTCCGTCCTCTGTCCTCAGGGAATGAAACGCTTTGGCTCACAGAGCAGCTTGTGAGGAAGAGCGGCTGGGATGGAGGAATCTCCCCCAACTTCTAATTCCTTTTTGGAAATACATCTGAGAAACATACAGGGTTCAGAGAGGGCAGAGTATGATTATAGCTTGGGATGGAGAGCTTGGATGTTTCAGACAATGGGTGATCAAAAATCAGAACTGCAAGAAGGGAAGAAGACCATGGCTGTGTAGCAAGGAAGGGCGTAGGTTGCTATGTGCGTGCGTGCGTGTGTGCATGTGTGTGTGTCTGTGATTTGGGATTAAACCCCAGGACCTTTGCACTAAGTTATGTCTCCAGCATTTTTTATTTTTTATTTTGAGACAAGATCTTGCTTAGTCAATAAATTGCCCCAGCAGGGCTTGAACTTGTGATGCTTTTGCCTCAGTCTTTGATCAGTGCTGGGATTACCTGTGTGAGCCCCAAGCCTCACTCTCGTCTTTAAGTAACACTGCAGGAGGGAAGAAGGAAACCCTCCAGTCTGTGGGTGGGTCTGTAAACACTGACTCTCACGGGGGTGCTTTGTCCAGGGTTTGCTGTTCCTGAGCCGCTTCTACCCTTGCGGGAGCCTCCAGCCTTCTCAGGGAGAGGAAAGACGGCGGACATAGGTTAGCAGTCACTTCTGACTATGGGACTCAGCCTACCTGCTGTTTGTGGTTGCATTTGCTCCTCTCTGGGTACATGCCATTTGCTTGTGGGACTTTTGTTTGACCTGGATTTTGGAAATCTTTATTTTTTTATTTTAAAGAGCAAAAACAATAAAACAAGAGTTTCAAAACAGGTCAGTAGGAGAGTTACAATAATTAGTACATTGTGCGTTACTGTCTTCCTAGTAGTTTTTCAGAGTACAGATATAGGCATGACATTGTATCCAAACACTGTCAGCACAAACTTTCCTTTTCAATGAACTAAGAGAAACTCGCTGTATAACTATCTTAACTACCTTGTGTATAAGTATGGTTTTTTTCTTTTTTGCTTCCTTCTTTCCCCTTTTCCCCCCATCACAGTTTGTCTTTTCTTTTGAACAGTTTCTTCCCAATTCACAATATCTGTTGTACATTTTGGACTTTATTTACTCATCCAGTTTCTCACACTAGTGAGACAATACAATGTTTACAGATAGGGTTTGATTTATTTCACTTTTGAGTATGGTCTCAAGTTGCATCCATTTACTTATAAAAGTCTCCAGTTTATCCTTCTTTGTGGCTGAGTAGTACTCCATTATGTAAAAACCATCTTTATTATCTATTCTTTGATTGATGGACATTTGGGTTGTTTCCAAGATTTACCTATTACAAATTTTACTGCTATAAACATGGGTTCACATATATCTCTGTGGCACAATGTTTTTGATTCTTCAGGGAAAATACCCAGGATGGGAATAGCTGGGTCAAATGGAACCTCTAGTCCTAGTTTTTTGAGGAATCTCCACACTGATTTCCACAGCGGTTGCACCAGTCTACACTCACACCATCAGTGGAGAAGTGTTCCTTTTCCCTATAGCCCCTCCAGCATTTGTTATTGGTTGATATTTTTATGATAGCCATTTTTTCTACGGTGAGATGGACTCTCACAGTTGTTTTAATTTGTATCTCTCAAATGATCAATGATGTTGAAAATTTTTTCATGTATTTATTTTCCATTTGTATTTCTTCATCTGAGAAGTGTGTATTCACCTCAGGTGCCCATTTTGGGGTTGGGCTTTGGGTTTGGTGGACCAGATTCTTTTCAGTTCTTTATATGTCCTAGATATAAGTCTTTTGTCTGAGGGACAACTGGCTATAAATGTTTCCTACTCTGTGGATTGTCTTTTCACTCTGTTGGTGATTTGTTTTGTTGTGCAAATCTTTTTAATAAGGTAAGATCCTAGTTGTTGATTCTTTGTAATATTTTCCTTGCAAACTGGGTTTTGTTCATGAAGGCTCTGCCACCCCCATGTCTTCAAGATTTCTTCCTAATTTCTCTTCCAGTAGATTTAGTGTTTCTGTTTTAGTATTTAGATCTTTGATCCATTTTGATGGAGATCTTTAAAACCATAAATCCCAATTGTCCTCAAGAACTTTTACTTCTATTCTCTGCCCATTAATTCACATATTTATGTTACCAGCTTGACCTTGCATATTATAACACCCAAGATTTTTTAACATCCCTGAGATCTTCTTGTCCTGGTAAGAATGGTCTCATAGTGGCCACCCCCGCAAAAAAATCCTTGGGCCCAAAATCTCTAAGAGTCTTTTTGGTCACCCCTCCAGCATCTAGTCTTCCACCAAGCTGGGGTGGTAAGTCCTCCTTGTGTTCTTCTCTAAGCTGTTAAGGTCAAGTATACACAGATATTTTGAAACTTTTAAAACTAGGTTATTAAAAGTCTAGTTTCCAGGACAAGACTAATTCACATGAATCAAGAACCTGTGATTTATTTCAAATCATTTTATGGTCTTATTTTTGAGGTTCAAGTCCCAAACATAAACTTTCAAGAAAAGGAATGCTCCGGTGGGATCAGTGTGGTTAAACAAAAATTTTCCAGGGCTAGCAGCATTGGAGTTTTCTTTAAAAGCACAGGTGGCGGGTAAAGAACTGTCCCGGGTATGACAGAGTCTTGCTCACAAGTGCAAAGCATTGTGGAATGGGCCACAGGGCTCACTTGACTGTAAGAAATGCAAATTGTCTACAACAGAGGTGCAGAAGAGGCAGGGCCTGGTGGACGAGCCATCGCTGGGAACCTGGCCTGGAAGAGGATCCCCCGCCCCAGTTCCTCGCTTCTCTCATAGCTTCTCGGTGGCCATGACGGGGCCAGCCGTGCTCTGTGGCAGACGCCTCCGCCACGCCCCTCCCACCATGGAGCCAGCCAGACACGGACTAAAACTGTGAGCAGAAGTAAACTAGGTACCAACTCCCCACAGTGAATGCAATCATTGTGTAACACTAGTATGTACTAATGCAGACAAAAATTTGAAGAGAATCAGACACACAGACATGAATATCTTACACGAGAAACCTGACGTATGAATAAATGAAACGGCAAAATAAAAGGTAGATGACAAGAAATGGAAGACAGGTCTTTTGGAAGTGGGAGGGGGACCAAGACTTGGAGGGAGCAAGGAGGGCAGTGGGGGAAGGGAAACCTGAAAAGAGGGTGTGTTGTGCACACACACCCGCTTCCCATGATAAATGTAATCATTACGTGCTGGAAACACGGACTAATAAAAATAAAAATGAAAAAGAACTCTCCTCTGAGGTGTGTATGATCAGGTACTCTGCCTCAGCCGCAAGAACGCAAGTTATACTGTAACAGATGAGCGTGTGAACCCAGTCTGTGTCTGTCTCTCTGTCCTGTCTGCACCTCTCTCTGTCTCTGTTTCTGACTCTGTCTCTGTCCCTCTCTCCCTCTCACTCTCTCTCCGTGTCACTCCCTCTGTCCCTCTGTCCCTCTGTCTCTCTCCCCTCTGCCACAGGGTCAGTGGCACATATAGATGGATAACACTGGCAAAGGATAATTCTTGTCCTGGGTGGGACAGAGCGGGACAGTGCAAGATTTCATCATGCTACTTAGAACAGTACTTTAAAACTTATAAATTGTTTATTTCTGGAATTTTCATCAATAGCTTTGGACCAAAGCTGACCATGGGTGACTGAAATGACAGGAACTGAAGTCATGCCCAGGGGTACTACTGTATGTGTGTCTCCAACATTCCTAAGTTGAACCCTAATCGCCGAGGCGGTAGGGTTGGAAGTTGGGGCTTTGGAGGAGGAGCTTAGGTGAGGGCTGTGTCTTCATGGAGGGTGTTAACAAGCTTATCGAAGAGATGGGAGAGAGCTGCTCAGACGCTTTGTTTCACAGCCGGAAATATGATGTTTTTTGGCAGATATTTCGTGTGCGGTTGAGAAGAATGTGTATTGTGCTCTTTTTAGGTACAGTGGTGTATGAAAGTCAGTTTGTCAGGCCGGTTGACTAGATATTCTGTGTGCTTGCTGATTTTCTGTTTCCTTGTTCTGCCTGTTATGGAGATGAGAGTATTAAGGCCCCAAATGTATTGACGAATCTTTCAGGGCTTTCTTTTTTGGCTCATGTACTCTGGAGCTCTGCTGCTAGGTGTGCAACATTTAGAATCGTTATCTCTTCTCAGTTAATTCACCCTTCTCACGAAGCATTACCCTTCCTCATTCTTGTTTTCTTGTTGTTGTTGTTCTGAGTAGAATTTTAATGATATTAATGAGCCACTCCAGCTTTCTTCATACAAGAAGGGTTCATATACGAGAAGCCATGTGGTATTTAACTTTGTGTCTTATTTCACTTAGCATTATGGTCTGAAGGTGCGTCCATTTTCCTACAAATGTCTCAGGGCTACCTTTTTTATGGCAGAGTAGCACTCCGTTGTGTAGAAATACATCTTCTTCTTCCACTCACC